AGTAGAGTAGAGTAGAGTAGAGTAGAGTAGAGTAGAGTAGAGTAGAAGCTAGATGTCTTCTAGTCCAGCCCGGTGCTCAAAGCAGAAGAACCTTCTTCCTAAATCATCCCCTTTTTTCCTATCCCATCCCTGTCCACTTTGGAGGAAAAGGAAGTGTCCCCCGTTCCCCCCCCACCGAGTTTGCTGGTGGCTCTGAGAATGCTGGGAGAAAGGCACGTGCAATTTGAATCCAGTGCCCAGGACGTTTTCCTCCCTTTTCATCCCTCCCAGGCAAATTGATCTGTGACGATGGCCAGAACTCCTGCCTGCTGAGACACAGGACGGAAGAGCTGAGAAACAGGCAGGACACCTACAGGTAAACGCTTTCTGGAAACCTTTTTTTTTCTAACCATCCCTTCTCTTCTGAGGCTTGCACACCTGCGCACATAACACGCACACAGGCCCCTATGTGCACCACGGCCTCCTCTCTGCAAACGATCTTGCAAAGACCATTCGGCAGATGTGCGTAAAATGGGGTTTAACTCTGTGTGTCTGTGGATGTCTGGTTTGTCTCCATGCCAAGTTTCCGGAAATGTTTGCATTGGTTGTTTTCTTTGCAGGCATTTCATGACCCAACTAGGTAACATCTTCAGTGCTAGACGGGAGTAGGGTTTATGGAGCAGTGGAGAAGCAGGAGGGAAGGAAGAAGAGGAGGAGGAGGAAGACTGGGGGGTGGTCTTGGTGCTCTCTGAGTGTGGTGGTTTTCTTTGCAGACGTTTCATGACCTAACTAGGTAACAACATCAGTGCTAGATGGGAGTTGGGTTTATGGAGTAGTGGAGATGCAAAAGGGAAGGAAGAGGAGGAGGAGGAGGAACTGTGGGATCCTTGGTTCTCTCTGAGTTTGGTGGTTTTCTTGCAGACGTTTCATGACCCAACTAGGTAACATCATCAGTGCTAGAAGGGAGTGGGGTTTGTTCTCTGTTTATATACAAACTGGCCACTGGAATTTATGTTACAGGGAGTCTTTACGAAAAGTTTTACAAACCGCCTCGACTTTAGCAACAGTTCCAAATTACCATGATCCTGAAAAAAGCCACGTCCTCACCCTTATGACCATTCCTCGCTCTTATGGCCAGTTCTCACCCTTATGACCCTCCTCAAATTTTCGGCTGGTCTTCCACATTTATGACCCTGGCAGCTTCCCTGGGGAACTTGTGACTTCCCTTTGCGACTGTTCCAGATTTTCAAACGTGGAGGGGGGAAAAAAAAGCTCAATTCGCTTAACGACCGCAGTAAAAATGGTCATACAATGAAGCATGACTCCCTTCATGACCGACTCGCTTAGCAATAATGGTTCTGGTCCTAATTGTGGCCGTACATCAAGGAATACCTGGAATTAAGAAAGGGAAGTGGGGAGGAGATGGACCAAATCCTCCCCAGAATTTGCAGCTGGTTGGTCAGCATTTTACAATGAAGGCGGTTTAAAGCTGCAGAATCCCATTTTGATGTATTTTCCACTTTCTTGGATCTTTCCTTACGGGGATCCTGTAAAAATCTCTCATGACCCAACGTGATCGCTGCTAGGAAAATGATAATGAAAATAAAGAATTGGCGGGAGGAAATTGAATTGAAACCAAAGACATTCCTATTGGGTATATTAAGAGAGGAAATTAGTAAGAAATTCCAATATATTATATTACATATGATAACCACAGCCAGAATTGGAAATGTAACAGTATCCCCTCTGACATTATGATAATAAAAAAGGTTTTAGATTGTACAGAAATGGATAGGCTTTTTTTTTGAAAGTTTTATTTGGGTTTTCACAAAAACAAAATACAAATAAAACATCTTTTCTGAAAATAGCATGGTCCCAGGTTATCACTTCTTCATACAGACACCAAACTCAATTTCATGCTCATTTTTATATTCTATTCCATATCTTATTACCGTTTTATATTTTCTACATAGTTTCCCCCCTCTTTTAATTTTCTCAACTTTATTTTAATTATCTCATCTCAATCAAATCATTATATTTATACTTTTGTCTGTCCTGTTTCAATTTCATATTATCTTTTCTTATTAAACAATTTTTTCCCTGTAGTTACCAGTTGGAGTATGACACCTGTATATCTTTTAATTTTATCCATTCAAACTCTTATTTAAGCTTCAGTGTATACCTTTAAGATTATAGCATTCAATATAATACATAACTTCCAATCGAATTCTGCTTGGTACATTCTTAAAATACACACTATATTCTTAAAAAGAAAAAAATTATATATATATATATATATATATATATAT